TGTTTTCTTTGAAAGGAAAATCATTAAATAATATCTTTGACAATGTTTGACATATAACCTCCATTACTAACATAACCTACATTTAAATGTATGTGGTGAAATAATCTAAGTCGTACGTCCATATCTTGATTCATACCATTTTTAAGCGATCTGTCACTGCCAGCTCTCGTGGTTTCTACTATACCAATAACTTTTATAAAAGTCAACATATTTTTTTACGTACAATTAAAAGGTGCAATAAAAACTATAGCATTCCATTTAAAATAACGAAGTTATGGTGGCAGCCATCTTGAAAATATTTTAGATCGAAAGGTCCGACTGAACAACCCATACTACCAAAATTTCAAAACTGTACGAATACTGGAACCTAAAAAAGTTCTAACGAACCAGTTACGTAAGACAGCCTGTATATTGTACTACTGTATTTTGCTAACATTGATTACAAACGCCTTTACTGAGTGCATTTTGATAGCGTCTTAATTCTGTCACAAAGTTTCAAAATTTTTGACGTCTTGGAACACAAAGGGTTAAGAAGATATATTATAAAAACGACAATTGACATAAATTTTATGACAGTGCGCCTTCTCGATGGTTAAAAAAATCATTTTTATGTCAATAACTAATAAAATATTGCTTTGAGGGAAAGCTAACTTATTGCATTGAATTCTACATAAAAAGTGGTTTCGGAAATGTTTTCACAGAAAGGAAGATTTATCAATAAGAAAAAAGTAATGACGATTTTTCGAAAATGCATTTTTTTGAAAAACACCCTGTATCTCTAAAACCGTAAGAGATATCGATATGCGGTTTTCGCCATTAAGTTTCTTATAAAAATCGAGCCTCAGACACTAATATCATTTTTCCTCTATCTCTTATAGAAAGAGGAGCTTCCCTTTAAAATCGATAATTTAATAAAGAAGAAATAAATTAAATAAATACCTCCCCAGTACAACTTGTACTTTCAAAAGTTTCTAATGGAAAAACTTCTTGGAAACTGTTCCCGTCGACTTCGCTCAAATGGAAATCTCTTATACTTTTTAATCCTTGAACATACATTGTATCAACTTCTTCTAAATCGTCGATATCAACCGGTTCCCCAACGAGGAGTTTCCAAATAATTGGGGCGATTGGTAAAGCTAAAGGTTTTTTGGTCCTCATCGCGACTCCGAATAAAATCCCTAAGAATTAATAATACAAAGATTAATTAATTAATTATTAAAAGAATTATGATATTACCTAAAAATTTAAACCAATGCAATTGTTGGGGATTACTCATTTGCGTATTAAAGAGATATTTATCCCGATTAAACCCAGCATCATCAACCGCGTTCGGGGTTGGGATTAAAACAGGAACCACCCCGGATGTTAATTCTTGACACATTTCCGTTATTGTATCATCAAAAACCCCGCCGGCGTCATCGGCACCTTCCCCAACAAGTTTTACTTTCCAAGCTCTTGATGGCAATCTTAACTCGTTCGGTTTCATTTCAACGACTTGTTTAGCGACTTGAATAAAAATCGGTTTCGATTTTTTTCCCTTGGGGAGAATTCTTCTAACGGTTACTTGAGGGCCGTAATTTCGACCTTGCACCATCGTTTTTCCGATACATCTCACTAACGGTAAAGTGTAAACCCTCGGGGCTAATAACGGGCGTAATTTAGGCGAGATTAATCCTTCTAATGGGGGGACGTGTAAATCTTCTTGTTGAGAACTCAACGGGATTAGGGGCCAACACGAATATAATTTGTCGGAGAAGTTGTATAAAAATTTTAATCGTGATTGAATCGCGCTCGTTGAAATTCCTTTTAAGTTGTTGTATTGCATTGGGATTTCTTGGGGAATCCCGAATGTTAAAGAACGCGTTGTTCCGGGGATTCTTTGAGGTAAAGGGGGTGAAGTCCAAGCTGCGCTGTGAGTTCGCCCGGTTGAGATTTGTTTAATCCCGCGATTCGATAGTTGGTTAATGATTTCGGGTTCTTTTATAATCGAGTTATGAATTAGACCGAGTTGATCGTCCGAATTCATCCCCCATCCGAGGATTTTATCGCAGGAAGTTAAAAATAACACGTGTTCTGTCCCAATTGCGAAATCAACGATGAAAAATTTAATTAATCCGGGTAAAATTTGGGGTTTATATTCGGGGCGTTCCCCTGGATTAATTTGCCATTGATTCCGATCGATCCCGCTCACATAAACCGCGCCATCTTTCGTTAAAAAAATCGTCAAATTCGTCCCAGCCCCTACCTTTTTAATTCCAACGTTACACAACGCTTTAACTAATTGCGGGGTTGCTTTTGAAGTTGTATGCCCCAACCCTAATTTCCCATAATCCCCCTCACCGAAAGTAAAAACGTTAAAACCATCTTTAGTTACGCAAACGGTGTGGTTTAAACCACAAGAAACTTGTCCTATTTTATAATTAGATAGTGATCGAACATACTCAGGGAGTTTTTTATTTGAAGTTGACCCCAAACCTAATCTGCCATAATCGCCGTTTCCGAAAGTAAATAATTTCCCATCCGCTGTTACAACGGCGGAGTGTTTAAATCCACACGCGACTTGAATCACTTCCTCGTTTTGTAGCGCTTCGATTTGGCGTGGACGTCTTTGTCGATCGCTATTTCCATGGCCTAATTTCCCATAATCGCCATCACCCCAAGAAAAAACTTCACCACTTTCCGCTAAAGCCAAACTATGCCCGTCCGATCCAACGGAAGTTGCTAAATCGGTTATAACGAATCCTTGAAGTGACGATAAAACGTTTAATGTGTGTAAATCGTCCGAATTTCCTTGTCCTAATCGCCCATAACTTCCTTCCCCGCAAGCTAAAACCGTCCCATCGGCTTGGATGACAAAAGTACAATTATGGCCGCAAATAATTTTTTTTGCCATCGAAAATGATTCGACTGGTTGTGACATATTATTCGAGGTAACTTCAGCTAATTGCCCGCTTCGATTAGATCCCCACAAATAACATTTACAAGTCCCCCCAATTTGCCAATCATGAGGGCGATGAGTAACCCATTGCATGATTTGCCGATCTTGAGTCGTCGTCCACATCGAATTGTGACACCACAAATCATCCTCAATCGTTTCTAACATCATATTAACAGGAATTTCAGTGCGTTTAATCAACCCATCAGCGATTTTTGTGGCTTCAGCGAACGTTTCCAACCATTGGAAATCATCCAAAATCGTTTTCTTTTTATTATTAAACGGGAGAATCGGGTAACATAACACGTTATGTATCCCTAATAAAACAGTTAAATTAACGAGGCTTTTTAAATAAGTACTATGGGTTAATTGTAACCCGGTTTGAACAATCATTTTTTCTTGGGCGTATTGGTTTTCGATGATACTTGGAAGATTTTTGATTAAAATTGTGAAAATTGGGGCGTTTTTTAAACCTTTAATTCCTTTTTTGAGTAAAGTGCAACGCGCTGTTGTTACTGATTTGTTCTCCATGAAGTTGTGGATTGAATATTTTAAAATTTGGACTGTTTTGGAGCGGGTGAATCCTAACCCGATTAAATCCTCCCCGCACCAACATAACCCATTTCGGTCGATCCCCCCGCTTCCTGTAATCGTTTGGACTAAACTCCCATCGTGTAGCGACCAAATATTCATAACTCCACTCGGTCTTTTTACATTTCCCGTTGCCATTAATAAGCCAGAGGGATGAATTTCAACCGAAGTAACGGGATCGTAAGAATGTCCTTGAACGTTCATAACGTTTTCGGGGTTCTTATCAACTAAGGAGAATCTCCACACGCAAATTGTTCCATAAGATGTACCTGCAATGGAAAATATCTTTATAAATTCTATAAATTAAACCATATGCAATGTTACGCCAAAGAAAGGAAATATAATATATTGTTGAGGACAGCAATTCGGCCGTCGATGTAGGTAATAGGAATAAATAGATAGAATAGTGTTAGAGGGTTAAGCAAACTCTCATCGGTAAAACTCGCGACCTTGTACATCACCTGGTTGGGATGAGTTGCCTTTTATTGTGTACAAAAGAGTACCTAATTGTGTGACTGAATTTTTAACTCAATTATTGAACAACATCAAGAAAGGAGAAGCTATACCAGAAGAGTGAAGGGAATTATTGGTGGTGCCAATTCCGAAAATGGGTAAAAACATAGAAGGACATAAAGATTTTAGACCAATAGCGTTATTAAACGATTCGAGGAAAATTTTAGAAAAGGTACTGTTGAATAGAATTGAATAGTTTGTGGAAAGGAACAAAATATTGGACCAGTTTCAGTTTGGATTTAGGAAGGGGGTGAGATTGGTACAAAACCTTTTTATAGTTGTGAGCAAAATTCAGGCGGCGTTTATGAAAGGAAAGATATTGGTTGGCATTTTTGTGGATATAGAGGGGGCATATGATAATGTGGATATCGTTCGATATTTTGATTGAAAATGGAATTTCGTGGGATATAAATTGGTATATTGAAACAGTTATTTTTAGTAAAAATAGTAAAAATGAATGAAGACCAAGACAACTTAGACAACAAAAGAATAACATATAAAGGGCTACCTCAAGGGAGTCCTTTGAGTCCAATCCTGTTTAATATCTATATTTCTGATTTGAACAAATACTTAGAGGCCACAGGTGTGAAAGCTGTTATGTATGCGGATGATGTTGTATTGTTGATGGAAGCTAATTCGGAGGAAGCAGTGGTTGAGGCAATGAATCAGGGATTGAGTATAGTCAATAATTTTTTGGATTCAAGGTCTGTCACTGTCTCGGACTAATTGTAAGTCGAAAGCTACTATTTTTAGCAAAAGAAGAAGAGTAGAGGAGACTCCTCCGATAAGGATTAATAATGAAGTATTGGAGGTGAACGAATGCATAGAATACTTGGGACTTCAATTAAATAGAAAATTATTATGGAAAGAATAAGTGGGACGAATGGTGTTGTCCTGTACTAAGTCTATGGATATTATAAGATTAGCATCGTCTACCAGATGGGGATGCTCTCTGGCGGTTTCGTTGTTATTATACAGGGTGTCTCACGTAACTGGTTCGTTAGAACTTTTTTAGGATCCAGTATTCGTACAGTTTTGAAATTTTGGTAGTATGGATTGTTCAGTCGGAACTCGATCTAAAATATTTTCAAGATGGCTGCCACTTCCGATCTACCGGAAGTAGACCATAACTTCGTTATTTTAAATGGAAGACTATAGTTTTTATTGCACCTTTTAATTGTACGTAAAAAAATATGTTGACTTTTATAAAAGTTATTGGTATAGTAGAAACCACGAGAGCTGGCAGTGACAGATCGCTTAAAAATGGTATGAATCAAGCTATGGACGTACGACTTAGATTATTTCACCACATACATTTAAATGTAGGTTATGTTAGTAATGGAGGTTATATGTCAAACATTGTCGAAGATATTATTTAATGATTTTCCTTTCAACGAAAACATTTTTGGCTTGTGAAAACACTAACAGATTCATGACAACGCTCACAAGACGTTTCGATTTAAGGTTATAATTATAGAGTTACATCTCTTAGAAGAACAGACGTACTTTTTCGACGTGGTCATTTGAATTGTACAGCAGACATATTAAAGTAATGCTATCTCTTTCTAACACACATTACTCTCTAGCGGTTTGTGAACTACGTATGGCATTTGTAAGAGCGGAAAACGATGATTTACTGCCAGCTCTCGTGGCGTCTACTATACCTAGCGTTTTTCCTTTTCGAGTTATTTTTGGCAAATTTCACCATGCTCTTTAAAACCCTATATCCCAGCCAACGTTCACTCAAAACTCTCAAATAGATTGTCATACATTGTATTAGAGTATCTTATACAGGCTGGTCAAAAATTGAATTACCGTTTCTCCATATTCAATGGGGCTATTTCTGGTAGACCGGAAGCGGCGGCCATCTTGAAAATATTTTAGATCGAAAGTTTCGAATGAATAACCCATGCTACCAAAATTTCAAATCTCTATGAATAGTGGAACCTGAAAAAGTTCTAACGAACCAGTTACGTGAGACATCCTGTATAAGGCGATGATACTTTCAAGGTTGGAGACAATTGGCTGGCTAATCTACCCTTTGCTGTTGTATTTAAAAGAGAAGCTAAATAGAGTACAATTTCAATGTTTAAGAATGATATTGGGATTGTTACCAACCACCAATGCCATTTTAGTGGAAATGGGAGAGCAACCATTAGAAATAAGGATGCGTTTCTTGGCAAGAAAGTTTATAGTTAAAAATCACATTATAAGACCAAATCCTGTTGCTAGCACAATGTTGGAAATGTATGCTTTGTTGGAAGGTCGACGAATTGGGAGGAAACTGTTGTTTTTGGAATTGTATCAGGATGTCGCAGTTTATACAGATGTCCCGCAACGATTGTACAATACTGCATCAGCGTATTCTCTGATCGAAAATAAACAAAAAAAAATAAACATAGGTCCAAAAATGCACCATTTTCGAGATATTCAAAGATTTAGTTTCATAAGTTGATATTGTTAACATCATGAATTTTAATTTGTTTTTATAATAACTAAGTAGTTAGTATGATTACGAAGAAGAATTTCTGCACAAGAAAACAACCGTTCACCGCATTTTAAGGGTGCTTTCTCTCTAACAGAAAATGATGGCGAAAAAAGAGAGATTTTTTGTAGGTGGGCCATACAGGAAGAGGTAGTAAACGTCGACTTTCCCATAAACATTTACTCAAAGCGGAATTTTTAATATTCATAATGCGCACGTTTGGAGCGATGAAAATCCCCATGCAATACTAGAAACTCATCATCAGTGGCGATTTAGTGTTAATGTATGGGCTGGAGTTATAGGTGATCAGTTATTAGGCCCATTTTTTCTTCCAAAGAGATTGACAGCCGATCCTTACATACATTTTTTACACGCGCTACTCGAGCATACTTAAATAACAGTTTTGGCAATAAGTGGATTTGGCCGAGGAGGTCCTGTCCCGTGGCCACCTCGTTCACCAGATTTAAATCCGTTAGATTTTTGGTTTTGGGGACATTTAAAACAAATAGTTTATTCTGAAGACGTTCAAAATGTGCAGGATTTGAAGAATAAAATTAGTAACGCATTTGACACAGTAAAACAAATTCCTGATATCTTTGAACGCATTAGAAGTTCATTTAAAAAACGTATCCATTTGTGTTGAGAAGTAAATATATTGAATATTGAATATATTGAACATTTATTATGACATGATTCTTATCCAATTTGTTAAATATTCGTTGTTTTTATGCTGGTTGAACGATTTTCTTCGACAATCTTTGTTACTTGTTTTGTTAAATTATTAATGAACTGTATTAGTTAACTTATTATTTATTAAACTTTATCTTAACCATCGTAACCATGGCAATCGTTACAATTAATGATGTTAACAATAGGTCAACTTATGAAACTAAAATTTTGAATATCTCGAAAATGGTCCATTTTTGGACCTATGTTTATTAGACTTTTTTTGTCTATTTTCGATCAGAGAATACGCTGGTGAAGTATTGTACAATCGTTGCGGGACACCTGTATAGAAGATCTTAGGAGAACAAGATTGAATGACATGTTTAATTATAGGGTGGGCTTGGGAGATGTTGGAGTGACAATTTTGAGCGGGTTACCAATTCTAGATCATATGATGAAATGGAGCGGAGCGGATCCAGTACAAATATTAATAGTTGTAGCAAGAGAAGAACAAAGAGGGAAGAAGTTTTAGATTTATCGATCGGTTTCGTGCGAGTAATGCAACATCTGTCTTTACGACTTAGCGTCGCCGAAGCCCGGTTCTACTCTAAAACGCTATAGGACGGTTGCAAGAGTGAAGTTTAGTTTAGTTTATACTTAATCTTTGACGAACTCGTTTCGCGTGATATAATTCGGACGAACCCTTTTGTAGCTGTTTGTTTATTAATAAAGACTTATTTCATTCTTTTTTTTTAAACAAGTAATGTAATATAGTGCATTTAAGGATGAAGCGGGAAGTATGTTTCGTAACAGCATCTTCTTTTTCACGGATGGGTCGGTTAAGAAGAAGATACATATGGCTGGATTTGGGGTTTATTGTCCGGAATTATCTATAGAATTTTCGGGAAAAATATCTGGCATTTATCTATTTATTAGATGTAGAAGCATCCATATCACCGTTTGGATTATAGTGTTTGGAAATTAAACTATTTATACTACGATGATTATTTATTTGTGAAATTGTCTTTACCGGTTTCGGCACATTGCCGTCTTCAGAAGACTTGTCAGGTTTTCTACGATGTCGAAAGATAATTTATTTCAAACATAGGTTGCGATTTTTGCGGATTATCGATTTATTGAAGAACAAGATTAACCCCAACGGACATTAATTATTGGCTCGAAAGGATGTGTGTACTCACATCCTTAGTAGAAAACCTGACAAGTCTTCTGAAGACGGCAATGTGCCGAAACCGGTAAAGACAATTTCACAAATAAATAATCATCGTAGTATAAATAGTTTAATTTCCAAATACTATATTTATCTATTTGTTGTAGTGTTGTTTTCGATTTGGTGGGCATTAGATTATATTGGGGGGAGCAAAATAAGGTCGGTGGTGATCTTTTCGGGTTCTCTTAGTGCTAGGTCTAGTGTTAGTTCTAGTTTTACAGTAGCACTATCACTAGAACTAACGCAAGACCTAAAACTAGAATCATTCGGGTTTAGCCGTCTTGAGACGTGCGGCTAAACCCGAATGTTTCTAGTTCCAAGTCTAGTGTCTGATCTAGTTTTGCACTAGCACTATCACTGGAACTATCACAAGACCTAAAACTAGAATCATTCGGGTTTAGCCGTCTTGAGAGACGTGCGGCTAAACCCGCATGTTTCTAGTTTGGTACTATCACTAGAACTAACACAAAACCTAGAACTAGACACTGATAGTCGAATTATTTCCAAGAAATCAAAACTGATTATCAGCTATTTCAAAAACAAGGAGAGTGATGAACTTTTTGAACTACTGGCTCGTAAGAAGGCTTACCATTTCATATCTTTATTACCTCTCAACACATCAGAAAATATTTATAAACAAGAGGATTCTTCAACCACAATACGGAATGCGGTTCTCCTCCACTCTGACAAAATTAAAGATAAAATAACTTCTGAAATATGTAGTTTAAAGTCTAAAGGTACATTATTCAGCATAACATTCGATGAGTGGACTTCAATTCGTATATTAATGTGCACTCTAGTGAAGAATTATTTAGGAATATCGGGTTAGTACGTACAATTGGTTCAGTACTAGCAGAAAAATGTTTATCATTAGTTGAAGAAAAGTTGGCAACTTTTGATTTAAGTGCATTTATCAGTGCATCAGTTATACTTGGCACATGGTATAAATTTAGCCATAATAGATGTTTTCTATATGACCAAAAGTACAAATGAAAATGTAGAAAATGGAGATGTGGAAGGAGAAAGTAGAAATAAAGATGATGAAGTAGTAGAAGTATTCATATACCTCATGGATAATCATAAAATAAAATATAACATTACATACCAACAGCTAATAAATACGGCTTCGAAGAATTTCCAATAATCGGCGAAAACTTCAAAATGGTTGGTTCGTGGGTGTGATTTAAACTGTGAATTAAATCGGTTTTGCTTTCAATGATTGTAAAAATTTTTACGGTTAAATCAGAACTGGTCGCTAATAAACTTCCGGTTGAGTTCCAATCGATTGAGGTGATTTCGTTTTCGTGAGCCCTCGTCGTTATAATTCGCGTATCTTCGTGAATACTCCCCAATTTTAACGTACCATCCATGTACCCAATCGCGAAATATTGGTCTTCATGAAACCAAGCGATATGATCAACAGTCGAATTTAAACAGTAATTAAAAAGCGTTTCAACAGATCTCGTCCCTTCACTAAACGCCATTAAAGTAACCGACCCATCTACTTTCCCAATCAATAAATGTTCCTTTGAGCTATGAGAAAACTCTTTATTTTTGGGCCACTCCATCGCGGTTATCGTTTCTTCTTGATTTTCCATGAACCATTTCGCTAATTCGGGATTGGTGGCGTCATTTTTAGGAAGTGGCCAAATATTAACGACATTCTCCATAGCGGCCGCTAAATATTTCCCGGCCGTTGACCATTTTAAATGCGAAATCGGTTTATCTTGAAGTTCGCACCCAAATAAATCGGTCGATTGATAAAAAACGAACGTGTGCTCTAAAAGGGGTTGAGTTTCGTTTTCAAACGACCAAACCCTAACGGTCCCATCGTAACCACAAGAAGCCAATAAATTACAATTTAAATTATAATCCAACAAATTAACTCGATTATCGTGTCCCTCTAAATTAATCAGCTGTTTTTGAGGCAAACAATTCGATAAATCCGCGTAATTAATTTGATCCAACGACGAATTCATTTGGATTTTCGTCGCGACGCATTTAAATAATTGTTGCGCCGCCCATTGTCGATTTTCTTGGGACACTTTCCCGGATAAAACGAACGCCGATAACGCGTTTATTAAGGCTAAAGGGCCTGTTAATGAATCCGAATCGATTAAAGATGGGATTGAAGTATCATCTTTGGGTACTTCTAATAAAGAGCATCCTCCGTGCGATGATAACATCTGCACTAAAGATTGCGTAACGGCAAATTCACATTTCGGCAAATAATTCCTCGTCGAAGCAATCATTAATTCCTTCGTACACATCCCAATAATTAATTTCGATGATTCAACATCGTTCGAAGCTAAAGCTGCTATACTAACACTTAAATGATTCAAAGAAGCACTTGATAAACTTCCTAAAAATTGTGAGAAACATTTCGTTACAGTTAATGAGTAAATATGATCGTTTCTAATGTGGACGTTTCCTATTTCAACGCGATTCATCGCGGTTAAAGTCATCAATTTCACCACTTTTCTTATATCAGATAAACCGATCATTTTTAAATTCCTTATTAAATTAATCGAATTCGCTCCAATTGATAATAACGATAACAAATTTAACGTTATATTCCTTGATAATAAGATATGCATCGACTTGGTAAGATGATTAAGTGCTAAAATTCGATTTTGAGGGGCTATTAACAAAGAGGCTTGACTTCCTAAATATCTCATTTGATACTCTGATTTAATTTCGGAATCTTGTATAATCACCGAGGGGGTTATTGCCGCCCCCAAAGGATCGTGGTCTTTAAACGGGGCTAAATTCCGCTGGATTGATTCGTTTATTTCTAATGATTGGATTAATTCTGTTTCGTCGTATGAGTTTAACGAAGAAAGTGAGCAAGTGTATTCTTCCGTTACATCGTTTTCGTCGAAGATTATATCCGGGGCTTGGTAATAAACGTGATTTCCATCGTTTATGGTTTTTTTAAGTTGTAATTTACTGCAAGCGTTGCAAAGGAGGTAATAAGCGCCGGAGGCGAATCCGCATTGGCCGTAATTTACGGCTACTCCGCATCCGGCGTGGTTTGTTATTAAATGATTTAGCATGTTTGATGCTATGTGGCCGCATAAATAACATTTATCGGGGTTTATTGGATCCATTGACTAAAAAAGATTTAATCGTAATTAATATTAAATTTTTAACCAGTCTATAATTAAATTCCAAAGGTAAGAGTATTATAGTTTCTATTTTGACATGTTTCGCCTCAACAAAATCACAGAATAGTTTAAATATAGAACTATGAAACTACTCTCGTTTTAAACTTAAATAATTTACTTACAAAAAAACTTTAGATTTAGCTGGGAATTGTTAATTAATAAAATTGGTTCAGAGAATGCATCACATTTTCATAATCTTCTGAAAATATGTACTAAACAAAATTTCTGCCAATTTAATAACTTCCTTTAAGTAGACTTTTGTCTAACATTTTTATTAACAAACTGGAACATCTTATTGAAATTGAAAGAAATACTATTAAATTGATTTAATTCATAATCCATATTAACCAAGTATTCATTAATAAAAATAAGGATGAAGATGTTTTCTTTGTACTTATATTGGTTATTTTATTTTAATTATGCAGCTTTACATGTTTCGACTAGTAAAAGTCATCTTCAGAAGCTTTGTCATAAAATGCAAGTGATAAACATTCCAAAATGTAAAAAACTACCATAAAAAATATTTTCTCACACACAAAAACAAAGAAATTAAAAATTGAACAGATTAAAAGTTATTACTAATAAAATTGTAAAATGCACGAACAGTACAGAAGTCTTGATTTCTAGTTCTCGCTTTAGTGCTCGTTCTAGTTTTACACTAGCACTATCACTAGAACTAACACAAGACCTAGAACTATTAGGATATTACTATGTAGTATATTTTTATTGCACAAAAACTTTAACTAACACTAAACCTAAAAATATTCGTGTTTAGCCGTGCGTTTAAAAATAATTTTGATGGTATTAACGTCAACTTTAATTTTATTATTATATTCGTAATCTTTATAAAATAACCTTTAAAATGAGTCCAAACATGACGCAATTATCTCAAAAAACAAAAAGTTTAAATCAAAAACATTAAACCCGAAGTTAGCAACAATGAGGATAACAATTTAATTTTTAAATACTAATACCAACCTTAATTTCTGAATTTTTTTTTATATTTTTGTTTTTGTGACAAATTTTAAGACATTTTATAAAATTAAGAATACATCAAAATGACATTGACATTCCAAACTGGAAGTTGCTTATATCTTGAGTAATATTGGAATGAAACGTATCATGTTTGGGCTCATTTTAAAGGATTTTTCACGACGATTACAAATATGTCAAAATTGAAGTTGACATTTTACACCTGAAGTTAGTTATTATACAGGGTGTCACACAAAAAACGCCCCAACCTGTAACTCTGTTATTTACATTTCGATTTTCATGATCCAGGTATCAAATGAAATGGTTTAAAATACTATAATTCATGCTGCAAATAAACTTTTTTAAACGCCATCTTCAATTTCAAGCGATTATTAACTTTTGTTTTTCAAATTGCTGCATATATTTTTTTCACGTCATCGGATAGAGATTGCTTTTCTGAATCCATTGATGTACAATACATCTATTTTAAATGTAATTTTAGCAGAAAAAAGATACCTGTATATACAGGGTGTCCCGTTAAGCGTACGGAGCGGCTGTATCTCAACAACGGTAAGACCTAGAGGTTTGGGAAAAAAATCCTTATAAGCAAAGGAGGCAAGAGAAATACCTGGAAATTATTTTGAAGTTCGTAATTCGACCGCTAGGGGGCGTAACTGCCATAGAGAAACATAAAGTTCCCGCTATCTCAGAAACTTAGACGGTGAGCTATAACTTTGACAACATCATTTAGTAGCTTGGATAATACCGCATCGCTTTTGTTTTGCGATATTTCTCATATCTGTCATAATAAGGGAGGGGGAGGCCAATGCGTTTTCAAATGTTTACATTTTAATATCTCCTGGACCATTCAACTGATTTGAATATTTTTGGTCTTGTTTGAAAGAGCATTTCATGCTCTTTTAAAAGATATTTTCAGTAAGTCTGCTTGGTTTAAAACAAATAAGCTAGAGGGCGTTATCTGCAGCGGTTACATATTTTTGTGATTTTTGAAAAAAAGTTAAATGGAACGGTACTATTTACTTCACAGACCATTAATCACCATAAATTTTGCTAAATATTAGTGAAAACCGCATCTCGATATCTCCATCCATTCTCGAATTATAAAACAAAATGTTAAAAATTCGTATATCTTAATCGGATCAAGTTACCTTAGGAAACAAATAAGAGAGAACAAATATTTTATTATCTAGAACCTTCCTTCACACTTTATCCAAGCTTAGAACTGCTTCAAAACTACTTTTGAGGCGTGTTGAAAAGCCAACGGATCAATGAAACATCAACAATGATAATAAAACAAAATAAACCAAAACACTTAGAATAACTTAAATTTTTGGTAAAAATAACTAACTAATGTGCGAAATGCCTTCCATAAACCTCGATGCATTTATTTAATCTAGTTTCGACGAAAAAAAAGCGCTGCGTAAGTCTCGGCACTGGACACGTTTCTACTGGTATTTAGTGTTTTGTCATATTTTCCCTGGTTATTGGTTTTTCTTGAAAAGTCAGGTCGTTTAGTCTACCCAATGGATAAAGGGGTGAAAGCAATGTGGGTTTTGCTCGAACCAAGAATGCATATTATGCAAGTTTACATCAGGTTGTGGACAGATGCTTCATGCATCCATAGCATTTGTGATAAAACCTACCTGTACAGGTTGTCACACAAGAATGCCGCAAGCTGCAATTCTGTCATTTACATTCCGATTTTCATGAGCGAAATATCAAATGAAAAGGTTTGACGAATACAATGATTCACGCTACAAATAAACTTTTTCCAACATCATCTTCAATTTCAAGCGATTATCAATTTTTGATTTTCAAATTGCTCGGTATGTTTTTCTTCACGCTATTGGATAGAGATTCTTTTTCTGAATCCATTAATGTACAATACATCAATATTAATTATATATTTTATTATTATATCCATAATATTATAAAATAACCTTTAAAATGAGTCCAAACATGACGCACTTATCTCAAAAAACAAAAAGTTTAAATCAAAAACATTAAACACGAAGTTAGCAACAATGAGGATAACAATTTAATTTTTAAATACTAATACCAACCTTAATTTCTGAATTTTTTTATTATATTTTTGTTTTTGTAAAAAATTTTAAGACATTTTATAAAATTAAGAATATATCAAAATGACATTGACATTTCAAACCGGAAGTTGCTTATATCTCGAGTAATATTGGAATTAAACGTATCGTGCTGATTTTAAAGGATTTTTGATGAAGATTACAAATATGTCAAAATTGAGGTTGGCATTTTATACCTGAAGTTACTTATCATATAATAGACAACTTCATGGTGTTATTTCATGATGTATTCTTTATGAAAATATCTTTAAAATGTGTCCAAACATGATGGATGTATCTCAAAAAACAAACAAGAGCATAAAAAATATTAACCTTACATGTTTTTAGTTCTAGGTCTAGTGTTAGTTCCAGTTTTAGTTCAAGAAAAATATACAACATAGGTTTATTTATATGGTTTGGGTGGGGTCAACTTCATTTATGAAAATATTGGTTTCGGTATAGACAAGCGAGATTTTGTTCAGCTTGTATATGAATCTTGGTATGAATAAGCTGGATTTGACTGAGATGGTTTTAATTGAATTTGGCTTGAGTTGGAAAGAGTTACGTTTGGTTGTGACTGCGGTTTGGATGTGGAATGGTTTGATTTGCTTTGTTTGTTTTGTTTGTGAATAAGATAAATTCGATTGAGACCTGTAAAGGGGTTGGTTTAGATTTCAGTTATTTGCGACATGAATGATTTTGGTTTAGCTTAGATTGTGTTGCTATATTTGATTATGGCTGGGATGTGGATGCGTTGGGTAGCATTTGAGTATAAGATGAATTTGGTTTGAATGTGGATACTTTCGATCTGTTTCCGTGACTTAGATTGACTCTAATTTACCGCTGGAAGGGATGGTTTCGATGTGGATAAGCTAGATTGAATGTTTCTAGGCGACCGGCAACATTTCGAATTTTCCTAGTGTAAATTTTGCTTAAAACTGACCAATAGTAACCCTTCTTTTTGGCTCTTCAATTTGAAAACACTTCTCTGAATTAAAAAATAGAGTACCGTAAACCGAGGTGTATAGGGACTTCCATGTGAATCGGGACAAAGCTTTTTTTTATACAATATATTTTTTCTAAATGTTGCCCTTTACACCTCAGCCGCTTTAAATGAGAATAACGGCTGAATAACATGACCGTCCCTAATCAGCACATTTCCAGGCGAAAAGGGACAACGCAGTTTTTTAAAAAAAAACTATCGTTTAACATTTTTTTGTAAAATGCCATTATTTAGGTATGAAAAGTACACACCATGTTCGGACTTCTGCCCCACAGAAACTAATATTAAAATAAAAAGTAAAGCCGTAACATCTTCATAAAGTTGGCGGACTGTCCCTATACACCACGTTTTACGGTATACCTAAGGTTAACGGTTTTCATAATAGTATATTAAAAAACAAGTTTCGTAAGACACGCTTGAAATGCACGAATTCAAGTTGAAAAACGAGTGGCGAAGCCACGAGTTTTTTAATGAATGAGTGCTTTAAGTCTTATGAAACGTGTTTTTTATGCTATTTTTTGTAATTCGCGNGCCCTCTAGCTCATTTGTTTTAAAGCAAACGGTCTTACTGAAAAATATCTTTAAAAAGAGCATAAAATGCTCTTTCAAACAACACCGAAAATATTCAAATCGGTTGAATGGTCTAGGAGATATTAAAATGTAAACATATGAAAACGCATTGGCCTCCCCCTCCCTTATTATGACAGATATGAGAAATATCGCAAAACAAAAGCGATGCGGTATTATCCAAGCTATTAAATGATGTTGTCAAAGTTATAGCTCATCGTGTAACTTTCTGAGATAGCGGGAATTTTATGTTTCTCAATGGCAGTTACGCCTCCTAGCGGTCGAATTACGAACTTAAAAATAATTTCCAGCTATTTCTCTTGGTCACTTTGCTTATAAGGATTTTTTTCCCAAACCTCTAGGCCTTACCGTTCTAGAGATACAGCCGCTCCGTACGCTTAACGGAACACCCTGTACATGGCTATAAAATAAACAATTTGTAGATTAGGTGTTGACCGGTTTAATAAGAAAATACATCGCTTGTGACGTCACAAAACGTGACGTATCGATTTTTAAGTCACATGATGATTTTTAAATTTTTCCAATTTTTTTTTAACCCTTAAAATTAGCCCCCAGGTACTGGAAAATCTTACTTAGCAAAAGCTGTAGCAACGGAAGCAAACAACTCAACATTTTTTTCCGTCTCATCGTCCGATTTAGTATCAAAATGGTTAGGTGAATCAGAAAAATTAGTAAAAAATCTATTTGAATTAGCCCGACAACACAAACCGAGCATTATTTTTATCGACGAAGTGGATTCGCTGTGTTCGTCTCGATCGGACAACGAATCTGAATCGGCCCGGCGCATAAAAACCGAATTTTTGGTGCAAATGCAGGGCGTTGGCAACGATAACGATGGAATATTGGTTTTGGGGGCCACAAATATCCCGTGGGTTTTAGATTCGGCGATTCGTAGGCGTTTTGAGAAACGAATTTATATCCCACTTCCTGAAGAACCGGCTCGACTTACCATGTTTAAATTACATTTAGGTAACACTCCGACGCATTTAACGGAAGAAGATTTAAGAGTTCTTGCTAAAAAAACTGAGGGGTATTAAATCGAAAATTAAATTTTTTTTTCATAATAATAATTTATAATTCTTAGTTATTCCGGAGCTGATATAAGCATAGTTGTTCGTGATGCCTTAATGCAACCAGTTCGAAAAGTTCAAACGGCAACTCATTTTAAAAAGGTTCGAGGTCCAAGTCCGCGAGATCCCAACGTTATTGTAGATGATTTATTAACACCATGTTCTCCGGGAGATCCCGATGCTGTTGAGATGACTTGGATGGAAGTTGAAGGGGATAAATTATTAGAACCACCCGTTATAATGGTACTTAACCTAAAATCATAAAAAATTATTTTGTATTAACTTAATTTTATTTTTTTTAATGTAGAAAGATATGTTAAGATCTTTAGCGACTTCTAAACCAACTGTAAACGATGAGGATCTTAAAAAATTGACGAAGTTTACTGAAGATTTCGGCCAAGAAGGATAAAAACGTTATTAAAATAAAAAAAAAACTTTTCAGTGCTTTGCTTAAATATTTCTTTTTATTTTTCTCTCCCAATAACTGTCGTGTTATATAAATATATTTTTTAATATGTCTGAAAAGGTTTGAAGAGTTGTAATAAAAAAAAATCACAAACATAGTTTATTTTTAGATAAATAAATAGATTTACCACCGAAATTTTATAAAAGCGTAAATACTTTTACTGTTATATTATCTTTATATATATAAAATAAATGTATTTATTCGATAAGTGATGCTTTAGGTAATAACAAGAAAATAAAATTAATGTGTAAAAATACTTTTAATATTAATAATAAATCCGTATCTTTGTTTTTTGAATATCTTTTTATTTGATATTTACTTCAAAAAAATCCTTTTTTGTCTTGAGTCGTTTTCAATGGCACTTGAACAAAGTGTGCTCAACATTATCGTATTCAGCATTCGCCATATTTTGAATGTTATTGATGAAAATTGCAACATCGATCGTTTTATCAAAACTGCAAATATTACTTTCTCAAAAACGAAAAGTTATTTTTCAAAACGGGTTGGTTCATTGGAAAGAGGACACTTTTATTAATATTTTGGGAAATTTTCAAACTCATATTCCAAGAAATAAATTTTATACGAATTTCTAAAACTTAATCGGCGAAAATTGCAAAATTCGAAAAAATTATAGATTATTTCAAAAATTTATTTCTCAAGAACGAAAAGTGATTTTTCAAAACAGCTTTTTGCATTAAAAAGAGGATACTTTAATTAATAATTGGTGATATTTCCACAAGGATCTTTCAAGAAAATAATTTTATAGCGAATTTTTAAAGTTATCGATGAAAATTGTAATATCGAAAATTTTATCAAAGCTTCAAATATTGTTTTCTCAAAAACGAAAAGTTATTTTTCAAAACGGGTTGGTTCATTGGAAAGAGGGCACTTTTATTAACACTTTGGGAAATTTTCATACTCATATTCCAAGATATCGATTTTATACGAATTTTTAAAACTTAATCGGCGAAATTGCAAAATTTGAAAAAATTGTCGATTATTTCAAAAATTTATTTCTCAAGAACTAAAAGTGATTTTTCAAAACGGATTTTTGCATTAAAAAGAGGATACTTTAATTAATAATTGCTGATATTTCCACAAGGATCTTTCAAGAAATTAATTTTATAGCGAATTTTGAAAGTTATCGATGAAAATTGCAACATTGAAAATTTTATCAAAACTTCAAATATTGTTTTCTCAAA